GGAAAATGACTGTCATAACTGACAGAAGTGCAACGATGGTGGGGGATCCCCTTTCTCCTGCCTTTCACTTGGCTCTTTTCAAAGCCACCTTAGTCTCCTGGTGCTGCTTCCCATGGAGTTTGCAACCTTGCATCGGACACCAGGTGGGGACGGTTTCCCTGGGGCTGGAGCCAAGTGGCTGGCATGGGAAGGCAGACTGATTCAGCAGCCAACGCAAGGCACTGAGTCCTCACACTAATGATGATGATCGGAAAGGGAAAAGCGGAAGGATCTGCCAGGAGCTCAGGTGCTTTTCTGGAGTGAATTCTGTCCTCTCAGAGATGGTTTTGTGGGACCCTGCATCACTGAGGCCCGCATCTTTAACAGCATGAGCTATTCTTGCATTTGGCATTGCAAGCCTAAAATCCTGGTGTTGGAAGTGACTTCAGGTTCCCACGCCACCAGGTTAGCTAAGCTTGGCGAGTTATCCTGAGTCAACTGAGCCGTCGTGCCTGTGTCCGCGCTCCTACCCTTGAGCAAACGCGATGTTATTTCAGCCGGTTTAATCCGTAGCAAGAGACCTGTACAGGCAAATATCTAAATAATTTTAAAATACAGGCCACGTTCTCTCTCCTTTGGCTTTTCTTCTGTGAAGCAGAGCTAAATTTGCTTCACTGGGGTGTTCGGAGGATAACAGCATAAAACAAGTGTTTGCCTGAACGCTGGATTATCTTCCACACCCATGCCTGCTGCCAAGCCGTGGACATCACTTCTTGTTTGCCATTTTCCTTCCTTTGCCTTTTTTTTCTTCTGTGTTTTTTTCCTAACTTGTTCTCTCCTGGGATCAGTGACTGTAGAGCTTCAGTTTACGTTTGTGTTCGTTCAGCACTTGCCAGTTGAACATTGCCTTTTCAACTCCTCTGGCCATGAGCAGAGGTGCCGTTCCTGTCCCTGTTTTATTGTTAAAGCTCCAAACTGAACAATAGTCCACTTGCACTTCAGTGTTTTAATGTTACATTTCTTTCACAGCCCTGAAACAGAAAATATTAGTTTTATAACATCATTCTGTCTTTAGAAGAAATGTCTCTTCAAACACTTCTTACAGGAATTTATGGCAGTAGGAACAGGCTGGATTGTTTCATAGCTCATTTCTGTGATTTCTAGATATTTGGAATGTTTTAAGAAGAAGAACCGTCTCGGGTGCCGTGCCGCTTTACAGTTTTGTCTAAATGCAGAAACGCATTTTGCCTTCCCTCTTCTTAACTTAAAACTGCAGCCGTGTGTAGCTTTTGTCATCCCTGTGCAGTACTTGCAACCCAAATACAGTAGCAGCCTGTTAGGCATATGAACCCAAAACTGGAAGCAAAGCTGAGCAGTTAAACTTGGATGTCCAAGACGAGAGAAGAGCAAAACCCCGGAGAGTGAACGCTACATTACAGCAGCCAAACTCTTGCAAGTTTAAGCGTGTGACAACTTAAGTCGCACGCTAAAAGGTTTTAACTAACTTTTATTTTGACATTCTTCTTTTCGTAAGCGTTGCTCTTTCTGCTCCTTCTTTTACAAAGCAGTTTGTATGATTGCATTACTGAGAGGAAACAAAGAAATGCCAGGAAAACTTTATGTGGAGAATCTGTACTCATAAAATGGTTGTAAGCTCCCGCAAACAGGAAAGGTCCCCCCCCGTCTCCTTTTTTTTTTTTCTCCTCTGCCAGTCAGCTTGCAAAGAAAAAAACCATGTTGAATATCTCAGAAACCCGGAATCGATGGCCTGAGACTAAACACAAATTCCTTCCACTGCCACCAAGAACAAGCCTGTTGTTCCTACGCTGGCCAAGCATAAGCCCTCAGTCTCTATGGTTAGGAGCCAGTTGGCCTCAGAAAGTAGGTTTTAACTCGTGCGGATGCCAAAGAATACAGATTTGATGGGCAGATGGGTTTGGCAGGCAAGGCTGGAGGCTGTTTAGCCACTGACCATTGAAGGATATTTGTGAATGGCCACTTCCTTCGTCCGAGCACGCTTAGCAGAGCTGTGCAGACCTCTGCTGGGAAAATAAAATTAATTGCTATGTGAAACGTGTAAAATACCCTGTGCTATTTATCCCAACAGAGATGGCAATTTGGGTTAAGGGACGAGACCGAGCCACAGAGAGGGGATTATAACGGCTACAAAACCAGTAGCGACACAGAGTCGCATGGGTTACTGTCACGCTACCATTTGTTGCTCCGTTTCTTTGCTTCTTGCGTGTGCGCCTGTTTGTCTCTGACTTGATGTGAGTCTGGAGAGATTCCCCTGCGAGTCTCCAGCACGGTTCCCCAGAGCCTTGTAAGGAGCTGAACGTTAAACCATCCAGCACGCTCTCGGAGCAAATAGCAAGTGTTAAAAAGGCAACCGGCATGCAGGGAGCTGCTGCCGGGCTGGTTTCTAACCCTGTGCGGTCCCAGGCGAAGCCAGTGGATGCCAGGAGCGTCTCCTCGTTAAAGGCGCTGCAGCTCTGCCCTCTCCCTCTTCCCCGGTAAAGCCGTGCTCCAGAATCCGTCACTTCGCTTTTCGGTGCTGGGGGCCGGTGAAGCCAATCCGAAAGGGGAAATGCACTGGGAGAGAAAGAGCGTTCCTGTTTGCGTGCCCAGAAACACAGCTTGTCAATGCCGAGGAGCCAGGGAGTTACCCTGATAAAAGGCACACGACCTCCGAAGGAGGTGAACGCATGTGATGTTCACTAAACACGACACTCCACATGTATCTTCTTTATTGTCTCGGCATGAACCCAGTTCGAAGGAGCGCAAAGCCAGGCAGACCGTCTGATGTCCTAAGTCTTGCCCTTCTGCAAGAAGGAGACCTTTAAACTTCCTTTGTTATTTGTGTGTGTGTGCGTGTACGTGTGTGTGTGTGTGTGTGTTGTGCAGACGCTGATAATCTTGTCTTGACAGCCCGTTTGGAAATCCAAAATGTCCAAGTTCAGTTGGAGGATGCAAGACACTCTCTGGCTGCATCTGCTGGCAGGAATTTCCTCCAGCTCCAGCTTCCTGTAGAAAGAAACAAGAGGAAAATTTCCTCGCTCTTCAACCTTTTTTTTTTTGCAGTTTAGTGTAACAGTGTCTGCTTCTGAGGAACCCTGCCACGCCAGACATGTTTCTAGAGAAAATGCAAACTTTGGACGCAAAAGCAAAGACACTGCCAAAGCATTTCTTCCATTCAGCTGGCTCTTTTTTGCTTGCAGCAAGGGGCTCGGAGTCAGCCCGAGTGGGTTTGCTCGCCCCTTCTGAGTAGATGCATCCTCTCAAGCAAATCGTTTGCCGGCAATTGCTCTTCTTTGTGCCTGTTGAATTTCCGTGTTGTCTGCCCGGAGCTGTATTCACGCTATCTCCTATCCAGAGCTACTGGTGTTGGCTGTCTGCGCTACCAGTGGGAGAGGTGTCTGAGCCGGTCGCCTATACGGGAGTCAAGGGCGAGACTTTATACGGGCAGCAAAGGCAGCTACTGCTAGTAGGGTGCCAAAAGTATCCTTCAGTTTCTTCATCTGTGCATGTGTCCTCTTCCTTTCCAAGCGACGATGAACAACATGGTGGTATGGTGGTAGCAGTCATGGAAGGGCAGAGCTGGTCTCTTCTGACTGTCCAGTCTGTGGCTTCCTCGGTCTTTTTTTCCCCAAGGAGTGAACCATTGAGATCTGCAACCACATAAGGAAGGAGGGAAATACTGGCCACAGCATTTGTGTTTAACACGACATCGGCTGTTCCTTCCCTGGCCCTCTCTGGGAGACATCAGCGTTTGCAAGCTCTGTTGTGTAAACAGGGCTCTAACAGATTTCCAGAAATGGGGACATTTGGGGAGAAAGGTTCTTAGAAACGGAGGATTTTTTGTAAAAACAGCGGGGAAGAACTGTCGGTGTCTGCCTCAGAGAGAAAGGCCAAATGAAAACGTTCGGTGTAGGTACCTGTGTTATTTGGTAGTCTACTTTTTCACTTTTTTTTCTCTCTCAGAAATTCCTGATACACTTTTAAAACCATATGGCAAACTGAGCAGTTCACTAACACAGCAGTACGTGCTGGTGATAGAACGAAGGTGCCAGTCGCTGGAACAATACAACAGGCCAGGCAGGTTTGGAACTACTTTTGTCTGGGAAAAAAAAAAAGCTTCTGACATTTCTTCCCTGCCTGGCTTCCCATTGATGAGATGGGACTAGCCAAGTCTTCCCCGATTTTGTGTCGAAGCAAGTCTTCATCTAACACTGAAACAAGGGAGAGTTTTTCCTGGGAACTGAAGTAACGTTATCTAATTGCTCCTGAAAACCCCGGCTGAAATAGGCCTATTCTTGAAGGGAGATTTAGAGGCATGAGTCAGATATTACATCATGCTGGATGCCAGGGAATTGTCCCTCCTGTTGTGGTGGGGAGGCCCACAAAGTCAAACGCCTAAGGGCCAGACTGTTTGGTGAGACAGAAGATATGTTAACCGAATGGGACTAGTTGATTTAACACTGACCTGCCAAGCAAAGCCTCGTGCGGCATACAATAGCACATGATTTTTCAGGTATCATGTAACTTGAGTCTGAGGTTACGTTATTTCTGTTCATTAAGGTTGCATTTGATGTAGATGCTCAGCAGGGTCTGGAAATGTATTAGTTGGTATGAGGCTGTGCTGCTGGGATAATTTATATGACTACAGCAGGGCTGAAACCATTACATATTCTTTTTCAAGTCATTTCCATCTCATGTGGCTCTGGCTGGTCACTAGCAGGGAGAAAAATCGTATTTTCTGCTTCATGGCTGCAATTTTTTCCTTCAGTGCTTTCTCTGAAAGCACGACCTAACCGTTATGTGCCTTTGCTTTAGGGTATCAGGGCTCTGATGCTACAGGCACTATGTGAATGAGGCTGTTTTGTGAGTAAATATGTTTAATGGTGCCTCAGTTAACCCCATTAGAAAAGGTCTTCCTCATCTTCATTGCTCTTCTGCTACAGATCCAGGCAGCAAAAAGATAAGGGGCCTGCATGTAATAACGTCTGTCTTTGTCCTTCCAGGCGACAGCAGAGACTTCCTGGTGGGAATAAATCTCAGCAGCACACAGATCATCAGCAAGGTGGCACCAAACACAACAGGGAACACCAGAAACTCTACCAGGGAGGCCAGGCCCCTCACTCCTCAGGCAGGACGGGCCACCACGGCTACAGCCAGAACCGGAGATGGCACCACAACCAGAAGCACTCACCCAACGACAAAGAAACGCACAGAAATGCCAAAGAGACTGAGAATCTGAAAATCGAGGACACCTCCGTCTGCACGGTGCATATTCCCTTAGAAATGCACCGGGGCCCGGAGGCTGTGGAGAAACAGTCTCAGCAGTACACCCAGGAGTCAGAAACCAAGCGGAAAGACAGTATTCACGAGCGCATTGGGGAAAGACCCAAGATCAATTTGCTTCAGTCTTCCAAAGACAGGCTGCGAAGGAGACTAAAAGAAAAGGTACTACGCCTTAGAGGACCTTTGAATTTCCCTTTTCTCAAGGGTCTGGCCGTTGGCCATTCTCCACGTGAAGGGAAGGCTGGGTTCCCGGGGACCTCCCCATGAGGGCACCCGACTTGTCTTCTAATCTCCCAGTGTCAACACTTCCCTTGAAGTATCTGTGCTTCTCCAGGAGGCTTTTTACTGACACACTGCTGAGGCGCTTAACCCATCAGCATGTGGCTCCTTGGTTGAGGTTGCTGTTGGGTTGAGTTTCCCAAGTAGGTTGTGCAGCCTCCCCCGACACCTGCAGAAGGCCTTCTGAGAAGGCTGGTGCACACGCAAGCCCTGGCACAGGCGGCCCCTCTCCGGTGGCTGGTCCCATCTGACTGACTCCCAGTCTGCAGAGCTCATCTGCTTTGCGCAGAGGTCTAAAAAAGGCAATTTGTCTCTCAGCAACTAAAGAGCTAAATGCCAAGCTTAGACTTTGAGTGCTGAATATTTGGAGTCAGCTACTTAAAGGTGATATCCATTTATCTAGATAATGAATTGAAACGCCCTTGTTTTTCCCCTTCCTTCCAACTACCCAACAATAACAAAGGTATTGCATGCAAATGACAGAGGCGAAATCCTTTCTGGAAACAATCTTCAGCCTCAGATTTCTGAGGAATTCTGAGATAAAACCTTCATTTGCCCCCTGTGGCACTCAGAATTCTTTCTCTCAAGATGCTTTTTTCAGGCTGGAAAATGCATTTATGTGGGCATTTCCAATGAGCAAAAATAACCTGGACATAGACAATTCCATGGGACTGCATGTTGGAAATGTATGCCTCTGAGTACACGTGCGTTTACTATTTATGTATGCACCACGAGGGGAGGAATATATTTTGTTAGTTATTTTCATATTCTTTAGAGCAAAAGCAGTATATCAGAGACTTTCAGAGAGTTCATTTTAATTAGTTTCTCATGTTCTAATGTAGGACCTGAGCCTGCAAAAGCTTCTTCATAAAATCGTCCTCACTCATAGCTTCTTACACTGTAGCTTCTGTGAGCCTGCCCAAGTGAGAAATGGTTTGCAGGATCAGGCTTAATAGTTGCATGCCCTGGGAACTTACAATCTTATAAGAAACACATCATGTAAGCACGACTCTTCAGTGCGTGTAATCAACACAATTGGCCTGATAGCTCCTGCCAGCTAGCATGAGAGTTGTGCAAGAAAATTGCTAAAGGTTTGTATTGTATGGCACATTTTTAAGATTGAACAGGAGGAAGAGAAGAGAGCAGACCAGAGCAAGCAAGGTGCATGAGGGGAAAGGGACAAATGCATAATTAAATTTTAAAAAGAAGCAATAAATTCCATGAGAATGGCATGAAGTGAAACACGTAACAGTCAAGAGATGGAAAGGTTAAGAGTTCTTCTAGTGCCTGGATCATGTGACATCTGTGATCCCAAGTTAGACTGTTAAATATACATTGAACTGTAGATATTCTGTAGAACTGTTATCTGAGCATTTTGCAAACATTAATGAACTAGCTTTGAAAATGGAGGCAAGAAAATGTCCATTATTACCATGTTGCACATGGGAAACTGAGGTACAGGCAGGCACCCCCCAGAAGTCCCTCTGAGGTTACAAAGACAGCTGGGGGGTGATCTGACCTTGGTATCCTGCATCAATGTCTCAAGCAAATCTTCTCCCTGAGCAGAGGGTGAGCACTAGGGGGTTGACTACAATGAGAAATGGGGGAAGAGAACATTTCCAGGTCAGGACTCATTAACTGCCTTCCAGTTCTGAGATGAGACCATTATGCCTCTAGAAGATGCCTTAATTTTTCTACATCTGTTTATATGTCTCCCCAATCCCCTTTCCCCCTTTCTTGTTTCTGGAAGAACAAGGGCTGATATGTCTGTTTTTTCCTTGTGTAACAGACGCCTTGTCTTTCCCTTTTCACGGACCAGGACGAAGTCACGGTGGAAACCACCAATCCCCAAAAGAACAAAATGGACAAATTAATTGAAATCCTCAACAGCATGAGGAACAACAGCAGCGATGTTGACTCCAAGCTAACCACATTCATGGAGGAGGCCCAGAACTCCACCAACTCAGAGGAGATGCTGGGTGAGATCGTCAAGACCATCTATCAGAAAGCAGTGACAGACCGCAGCTTTGCTTCCACAGCTGCCAAGCTCTGTGATAAAATGGCTCTCTTCATGGTGGAAGGAACCAAGTTCCGGAGCCTGCTCCTCAACATGTTGCAGGTAATGAGATATTTAGCTAATTAGATACCTGCAGCTGCATCCAGCCTCGTCTTACTGTAGATTATGAGAGCTGAGCTTTTACCAAATGCCGTTTGTGCCCAGTTTGTTAGAGGAGAACAGCATTGTTTCTGTGGTTTTGTTTGCGCACATCTTTTATAGTTACCATTGCCGTAGTAACACTGTAGGCATCATCTGGTTACTGTCCATTTCCATTTCATGAGCTGTTCGTGGAAATCTGGTGTCTCACACCAGGGCCCATCTGTAAGGCGAGCGGATTTCTTGTGGCAACTTCCCTATGGCATTAAGAGAGGAGACTGTGGCACTTAACAGTGGAGTGTCATTGCCAGTCTCCTCAGCTAAGGTCGGTCTCCCTTTCTGTTTCCCCACACCTCTGAACACCAGGGATATCAAATTAAGTCGCGGTCCCCAAGTAGGCTGTTGGCTGCATGGCCTGGCCGAACGGCTCGCTCCTGGTTTCTAATTGCTGGGTTCGTCTCGCGTGGCTTGCAGCTGCACCAGCTGCATTTGCAACCCAGACAGTCATAATTTGTGCATTTGCCGATCATTCTGGGTGATTTGTTTATTGGTATGCACAGCAGTGGTTGGTTGTCCTGCTCTAAAACCATCAGAGAGAGCAAAGGCAGGGAGGAGAAAAAAGCAGCGGCTCTGGTAACTAGCCCATAATAACGGTGTATGGTGGGGAAATAGGGCTGTCCTCACGTGGCAGTGGACTGCTGGGGCAGCGTATTTACTGTACTGCCACTCTCCAGGTGGGGTTTGTTTTCTGGAAAGGGTGTCTTATGCTTCAGAGACCTCTCTGCTCCCCCACTTGGCTGCCTCATTCCCTGATGGCACAGGCCACACAGTCCCTCTGGTTGTGTCTTGGAGTGGGACCCCTTCCAGAGGAGCAGCCGATGGCACGTGGCTCTCCATCGTTACTGGAGAGGAGACGTGGAGCTGGAGTTTGCGTCCTTAAGCTCAGCTTATCAGTTGTGTGTGGAGACTTATGAGATTGATGGCACCTTTATTTTTCAACTTGAAGTGATCCGTCCAAATCTGGTCAAGGTTGGTAGTGACCAAAGCTGCTAATACTGTATCAGCTTCAGTGTACCATTGGCTCGCAAGGCCATCTCAGACCCATGAAGGATGAAATAGTATGCTGGCTTGTCACGGGGCACTGGGAAAGTGATGGTAGGTCTCACTTGCTTCTCAAAGTGGAGGCTGACCCAGAACTTTTTAGGACAGTCCAGACTGATGTTGGATAGGGAAGCTATGAGGGCAGGGTGGCTCAAATCACTCAAACATTTGGACTGCCACTGCTATATCAGTACTAGTACTGAGTGGGTCAGGGTCCTCCCTGTTCCCACACTGTCCTGCACGCGACTGTGAGTCTTGTGCAGATATTGGAACACTTCGGATGACACAGGGTCCCTGGGGCTGTTGAAAACACGCAAGGCTTCGGCGAGCAGAGGACCGTTTTTTACCTCTGACTCACGTTCAGCGTCCCAGCCCTCTCCAGGTTTGGAACATCTGTTGCTCTTGCCAGAGCTCATCGCTTTGGTTGCTTGTTTCCCAAGTTGTGCCTGGATGTGTGTGCATTGTGTGGGTTGAGTCATCTTTTGGGCAAACAGCACATGGTGGTCACCGGTGCTTCTGATCCTGCTGTGGATGAAGTGTTGGAATGATATTGCTGTTTCTTCCTGCTCGCTGGATACCTTCTCTCTTGTGTTTAGAGGCTATCACTTGTTTGTAGGGATGGCAGGGAAGAAGCTCCCTTGTTCTGCCACCAACATAGACATCGTTCCCTGGGAACAATCCCTGCCTCCATTTTGTGATCCATAGTTTGATGCAGCTACCAGTCAGAGAAGGAGGGGACCTTGCCGCAGATGTCCCTAGTGTCCTGCCACTGCTGCCAACACGGCTGTGGCACTGCTAAAGGTCTCTGTTCTCCCAGAAGAATCCAGAATAGCTGCACTTGCTGGGATTATTAGGATTTTTTTTTCTTAAAAAATGGCAAATGGAAACTTGACCTTGAAATACGTATTTTAAGGAAAATGTTTCCGGCGATGGATTTTCCTGTGGAAATGAGAGGGAAGCTGGTAAGTAGCCAGTAGTCCGATAGATTTAGGTATCTACCACATTCAGGGCTCTTACGTTTGCTGTGCTAGTGATCAGTCTTTGACCTTCGGTAGGTTTTTCATCTCCCTCTGCCTCAGTTTCTGTTGGAAAGAGTTAATTCCTGTTTACATACCCCAAGCGCCGCTGAGAGGCTGAGCTAACACAGAGCCTCCGGAGATACGTAGAAAAAGATGCAGTATTAAGGGCAAAACAACGTTGGCTGTTTGCTAGATTGTTTTGCTCTCTCTGGTTCATCGTGCGCTCGGGGAGACCTCAGGGACTTGGCTGATCTCGCGTACGCCATGTCTCCGAAGAAAGGAAATTACAGCAGGGAAGGAGTTGGCCCCAGGAGCGGTGAGAAGCGTTTTGTGTGCTGCGTGTAGCCCTTAGCCGTGTCTGTCCTCTGTGCTCTGTATTATAAATGTCTGTCGTGGTAACACGGTAAACATGCAGGGGCTAACCTGCTGGGTCCGCTGTGCACGAGGAGTCTCCACTCTCGTTTCCTGGTGGTGCTAACAGATGACAGAAAATCATGAGTCCGGCAACAAAGAAATTCCCTTACTCAGCGCTTCATGTCTCGCCATCCACGGAAGGAGCGTTTTGCTTTCCCAGCGGTGGGTCAGCGAGAAGGCAGGCACATCTGATGAGCACAGTGGCTAGAGTGGCTTCTTGATGTACAGGATCATGGAGAGATGGAGTCTGAAAGAGTGGGGGAAGATTAGTCTGTCACCTGCCACAAGCTGTGTTAAACCGCAGTGGTGTTTGTTGCCTTGCATGTGTGTGTGTTCCAGTGAGGAGGTCAGATACGCAGTGTCCAGGTGAACGTCAAGGAGTTCATTTGTTAGCGCAGTGCAAGGCTTGATAAAGGGAACAGCCTGCAGCACTTGTGTGCTGTCACACGTCTAGCTCCATGGGGAGCACCTGGAGGCAGGGCTGAGGAAGGAGCCCAGGAGTCCTGATGAGCAGACCTGTTCAGACCTGCATGCCACATTCTCTCCTTGGAAGACAAGGCAGTTGTCCAGGCTTTGGAGAGTGCAGCGTTAGATATTATTCAGGACAGGCTCAACACTGGCTGGGTCCAATGGCCAATGTATTGAGTGGCTTTGTTTTGCTTCTTTTAACATCTGTTGACTATGGCTAGGAAAACAAAGAGGCAGAGGCTAG